AACAGCTGCAGAACAGTGTGATAGGATGAAGGGATCGTGAGTGCTTCACAGTGAGATTGGAATTTAAATAAGAAATATCTGCACGAATTGAACAAATGCATGAGCACATGTGCAAGGAAGAGTAAGAAGTCTGGAGTATGAATGTGCCAAACAGAAACCAGAACTCAAAAGGGCTGAGCTCCCCGCATTGGGAAGCACAAGAAGGACACACAGTGCCCAGCAAGCGGCAGAGCGGGGGGGACAGTCCCGGCAATGAGCAACAGGATCTGGGCCCCGCTGCCTTCTACATTGCTAGGAGCTCTGCACTCAGCCAGAACGTGATTGTGAGCCACAAACAAACTTGACCAGACGTACGACAAATCCTAACATTACATGCAGAAGCACATCCTGAGTGTGATGAGCAGGAGTCAGAGAGAAGACATGCTCAGAATGGGGGTGAGACATGCTGCCTGGGATGAGGTGGCGATAAATAGGGAGAGATTTTGAAACTAGAGTCCACAGAATTTCTTGATACATCAGATTTCTCTGTGAAAACAGCACCCGAATTAAGTATAACTTGAGATTAATTAGTAAAATAAGCAAGAGTGTAGTGAATTTGTTGATTTTGAAACCAATATTCCTTAGGCAATTGAAGTTTCATACAGTGAAAACAAGCATGAAATTAAATTTTACAACACTGAATTTAAAATAACACCCAAAAAGTACCTGCGCCTAAGTTTAAAGGTATTCAAGGTAGATCTTTTATGGAAAATATAGAGCAAAACTCCTGTAAATCAGTAAGAGACTCAAGCACAAGTGCCTGGGAGAGTTGATATTTGAAATGTAGAGTTTTCCATAATTAATTAATGTACTCAATGCAATTCCAATCAAAACCTGAAGATTCTTTGAGAGACTGAAAATTGCCAAACTGCTTCTAGTTGGAGAACTAAAAGTTAAAGGGGACCAATTTAGTCCTGAAAGAAAACCAAGGAGGGATGAAATTTTCCATCACAGTGATTACCAGAACGGCTTAGAAATTCGGTGCTCCAGAAGGATAAACCGGAAAGATCAACAAGCTGCGGGAACAAGAGCCTGAGATCCAAAGGGAGCAACGCAAACTCAAAAACTCTTTGCACTGCAAAGCTGGTGTTGCAAATTGGAAGAAAACAAGATCAAGAAATGATGTTACAGAAATTGGTTCTCAATATAAAAACTGAAAACGCATTTCAACACTTGCAATATACAAAATAGATCCACTGTGTAACTGGAACTTATAGGGAAAGAGAAGAGCTATGGTCCAGGATGAATGAATGGCTTGGACACTGCAGTGAAAGAGCATTATTAAGTGAGACTGAGACCATATAATTAATGAATTGAACTCCATAAAATGAAGTAACATTGCCCATTAAAAAATACCATAGTATAAATGAATACTCAAAATACAAACTAGAAAAATACCAGTGTAAAACAGAAATAAATAGTATCCAAAATATGTAAATAGCACTAAAAGGCATTAAGGACCAACATCCAACAGAAACAAGTGATCAGGATCTTTATTGAAAATAAAATCCAAAGGGTTTAGTAATCTTTAGGAAAATATTGATTAACCTACACTGAAGCCCTAGTTCATACCCATAAGACTTACAAAAGAATAAAACTGTACTATTATCAAATGATGGATATTCTGAACCCTATGCATAGCTGGTGAGAAGGTAAGAACTAATGGGAAGCATATCAGGCGTTTCTGCAAATCTCAGAGGTGTGTGTCTTGCCACGTAGAATATCCACACTCGGATGTATGACTTAGGGCAAGTTTCTCCACCTGGAATTGTTGATATTTTTTGCCTGGAGAATTCTTTTTTTTTTTTTTTGGTTTTTCTCTGGTACCGGGAACCGAACTCACGACCTTGCGCATGCCAGGCAGGCGCTTTTGCCGCTGAGCTAAATCCCCAGCCCCTGCCTGGAGAATTCTTTGTCAGGGCAATGGAGTGTGTGTGTGTGTGTGTGTGTGTGTGTGTGTGTGTTGCAGGAGATTCAGCAGTACTCCTCATCTCTGCTCACTAGATGTAACATTCTCCAGATGGGATAACCTACGATTTCTCCACACATTGCCAAGTACCAGGATAAACTCAGCACATTTCAGAACCAGTGTTCTAGAAAAATCTCAAAATATTTACCCAAACACAAGGGCAAAAGTGCTCCTAGACACAACATTACTTAGAATGCCCCAGACCGAGAAATAAATGCTTTTGTAGAATAAAAAAAGAAGTCATATTAAATTTATAAAGTTCAAAACTACAAATAAATAAGCTCTAGCTACATTTATTATGTTAGTGATTTCAGGAAGACAATATGAACTTAGGAAAATACAAGTAAGTCTCAGAATGGCTGGATCAGGATTCTGTCACCCTGACAAAACAACTGTGAGAAACAGCTTAAGAGGGGAGGTTTATTTTGGTTCACAGTTTCAGGGCTCAGTCCGTGGTTGGCTGAGTCCAAGGTGTTAACATCATGGTGGAGGAAAGATGCTCATGTCATCAACCAGCAGAGAATAAGAGAGAGAGGGAGTAGGGAGAGAGGGAGCCTGAGACAGAGGAGAGGAAGAGGGAGGAGAGGGAAGGGGCTGGGGAGGGGGAGAGAAGGAAGGAGGAAAGGGAGGAAGGTGAAGAGTAAAAGGAAGAAGAAAAGAAGGAGGCAAAAGAGAAGAAGAAAAAGAAGAGGGGGAGCAGGGGAAGAAGAGGAAGAATGGGGAAATGGAAGGAAAAGAAGGAGAAGAGGAAGCAGAAGAGACAGAAAAGAGTAAGAAGAAGAAAGCGTTCACGGAAAACAAGCTCTGTTCGTGAGGCCACACCTCCACAACGCACCTCTGTAACTAAGTCCCACCTTCGTTTCCAGCACTTCCCAAGGGTTCCATCAAACTGAGTCCCTCAGTGGATTAAGCATTCAAGGGGACAGATGTTCCACACAGGAACCTCAGAGGGACAAACCACAGCCCAGAGTATTTGGCTTTATTACTATTTAAAACAAAAGCTATTATGGCTTAGTATTTATAAACTATAAAACATACATGAGTAGAAAATGCCTTTGAAAATGAACGAATGTACAAATTACACAAGAAAAGAACTGTGCATAAAATTGAAGAAATTTTGACCAATATATCAGAAAGCTGTTTTCTTCTCAATGAGGAGCCAGAAGTAAGGTAGGAGTGAAACCTTGTGGATCCAGGGTGGAGACAGTGCAGTTGTACTAGGAGCTCTCCATGGGGTGCACCTTTGTTACCCTAGTGGGTATGCAGCAGTGAATGTCTGGAAACATTTTGGATTATCACAATGGGGGGGGGAGGTGCCACCGCTATCTGGTGAGAACAGACCAAGGATGCTGTTATTCACACGTAATGAAAATTTCCATATCAAGGCTGAGAAGATCTCCTATAATGAATCCGGTCATTATGAATATCAAAAGTATACCAATAAAATTAATTTAAGAAAAAGAAAGTCTCCTCTAGGCTTTACAGGATTTTCATATTGTGTTCACATGAATCAGATTTGCTAAAATATGGGATACAAAATCTATTAAAACAATTTGATGGCTTATTTTAAATATTACAGAAGTAATAAAATAATTTTGACATGAAAACCCTGGTGAAAAAACAGTTCTTAATTGCTTGACATTACATAATGTAGAACAGTAACTATATCATTTCATATTCCATTTGAAATTAATCCAATTAACTAGAAATTAACTACCTACTGGTGCTAACAAAGTGTATTCAGGCTAAAGAAATCATCTCATGAAAGTTAAAGTGCACTCTCATATCACACAGCAGCGGACCCTAGCCTCTTTGGCCCCAGGGTGGGGTTCCTGGAAGACAGTTTTTCTGTGAATGGGGTGAACATAGCTGTTATGGTTTTTGTCTGTGTGTCCCCCCAAAGCCTCCTGCGGCCCTGGGGCAGGCTATTAGAGTTTGAATATGGGTGTGAGAGCTGTACCCGCCCTGAAGTGGATAGTTCGCATATGTAAGGGAGAGGAAGAAGTGCTTGGGGCATTCCTCCCCCATTCAGCCCTGGTGGGTGCTTGCGGCTGCCGCCCTGAGATGCAGCCCTCTGCCACGTGCCACTCTGCCTTATAATCATGCCTAGTACGGATTGAAACCTCCACAAACTGTAAGCAAAATAAACCTTTCCTTCCTTAATTTTGGTCGTCAGATATTTTGTCCCAGCAACGAGAAAAAAGTAACCAAGACAATAGCCGAAGCTTCTCTCTCTAACCCACCCCTCAACTCCTACTGCAGGGCCTGATTCCTAACAAGCCAAGGACCAGCTCTGCTCCCTGGAGCAGGAGTTGAGGACCACTTTTATGCATTTAAAATCCATCAAGAGCTCTATTTACTTTTGAAAAGAAAGTGATCTACCTCTCCTAACAGAGATGGTTCCCGGCAGGCTGGCTTTTGGAAATATTCTCAGACCACAGATTGTAAAAGGGAAACATTGTAAGGGAAGCTGGAAAGCTCTACCTCTAGTAATATTTGGAGAATTGGAGGTAACCGAGGTCAGTGTGTCACCTCTAATTAACAGGGCTGGCCTGGTAAACTCCATGAAGAGGACAAGATGCCCACAGGACTGCAATGCGACACCCGCTCCGGCAGTGACAATAAGAGGGACAGCAGCTACTCTGCACTGAGAGCTTGCCGTGTAAGGCAGTGCGTTCACCGTGACCCCACGCCTTGATCCTCCACAGGCCAAGGAAGCAGGCTCATTCCCCATCATCAGTTTTGTGCAGTCACACAGAGGTGAAGTTGCTTGCACAGACTTCACACAGGTGGTGTCCTAGTAGATATGGGAAGTCTCCTCTCAGTGATCTCAGAAGTCGTATTTCTAACCTTAACTTGCCGTGCCTCCCTCACAGCTGTGATCTTTGAGCCCCCACCGTGGAGCTCTGCATCCTCCTGTGCACGGCGACCCTCCCTTGTCCCTTCCCACCCGAAGCCCACCTGAGCTAAAGCAGCAGGGTCCTGAGCTCACCTCCTGCGGGGCGTCTCCGCCTGTCTTGGGTTCTACTCAGTCACGCGTAGCTTCCACCGCTCACTTCTGAACCAAAGAGGAATTCTCTCTTGAAAATCTTTGAAGAACGAATCAACATTCTTACTTCCTTTGGAACTCAGAGGACTGTAGACAGTCATGAGCACTCATGGCGAGGTTTCCACCTCCGCGGGCTCCCTGCAGTCTCTGTGATCGCTCCCGACACCTGGTGATGGGTCCTGCAGCCGCCCAGGAGCCTTCCCTCTGTCTCCACTTTGCTGTTTACAGCAGACCTCGTGCTCCTCCAGGATACTGTGACTAGCAGCAGCATCTTCTAGCTCAGTGTTTATAGTAAACAGGAAACTGATAGAAGACACCTCAGAGGGTTTTGTTTTACTCTCTCCATGTTATTTTCTCTGGGACACACCAAAGGCGTGAGGTTTGAACAGGCAAGGCTTTTGTCCTTATTGGCAAAGGTTAGCTGATGAGTACTTCGCGCGCCCAAATGAGCTGGCTACAAAGCACCTGCTCTACTCACCCGCGCCGTGACGGCTTCACAGCGGGCTGGTTCCTGCCTTTTAGACAAGACGTGCAGGGCAGAGGAGGCAGCGCCAAGGGACACTTTGCCTGGCTTAGATAATATTGGAACCCATGGTCTGATGTGTTCATTCTATCATTATCCGTTTAAAGTGTGTCAAGTTAGAGGTTTCTTTAAACAATTATAACAGCATTACTAGATGAATGTTTAAGTTTTGTTGACAATGTTATGGGCACCTCATATAAGTTATCTGAGTGACTTTTTGAAGTAAGCCCATGTGATGTTTACTTTTGTTAGTAAAACGGGAAGAGGTTAAACCCTTCGCCCAAGGCTAAGGAGCTCCTGCTGTAGAAGACAGCTCCACTACCCAGGAATCTGATTGTATAGCTGCAGTTCATAACCCGAGGGCCATTCAAATATTACAGGGGTGATGTGAGATTATCTTGATGCAAAATAACATAGACACCTTTGACAAGCTCTAAGCATTTCTAAAATTACACATGTATTTATCATTTATTTTCATGTATGTGCCTCTTTACCAGAAGGAAATAACTCACAGTTCATGGGTCTTGTTTATCTTAGGCACTGCTATATTTGTAGTACTTAAAATTGTGCCTGGCTCACAGAGGACTCTGGTTAAATATTTTTAGGACAAAAGAAGTAGTTACCAAGTGGGAAAAAGAGACCTTTCACGTGCTGATGGGGGCGGATGAGGCTGACTTTCACTCGTCAGGTTGAGGGTTTCGGTTGAAATGGGAACATCAGGACAGAGTGGACATCTTTCACCCAGGTAAGCCCTAGGACAAATGAACGTGTATAATTCACTTTCATGTATAAACAAAGTCTAAATTCTTTGAAAACTTATATTTCCCCATAGTCATTTTGTGAATGTTGATCCATATTTTCCTGATATTGGATAAGGGAAATTCGTAGCAAAGTAGACACAAATTTGTCTAAAAACGTTTCTAGTAGGCCTTCTTTATTTTTAAAATTAATTAAAGTACAGGAACAATTTATTAATGCTGCCTAAAATATTTTTGTTTCAAATCCAGTTCTTCTATTTGACTCAATAATATCTCTTCAAATATATATTTGATTATAATTTTTTATTTTCAGAATATCTATTATTTCAAAGTTTGACATTGTAAATATTGATTCTCTTTCTTTGTTAATGAATATATGTTTTAATTTCCTCTAGGGCCATTTTTCATATTGCCGCTGTCTCATTATATTTCTTTCTCATAAATGATTCTGATGAGATATTTAATACTAAAAAAACTAGTAGTATGATTTTAAATCAGAAAATTCAACTGTATTTGGCAAAAGAATAAATGCATTAAAGCAATAAAGCAAAGAAATTAATAACTTGAACTGCAGTGTTGCAAAAACAGTGAAACATTTATGAAGACAATAACAAAATCTGAATGAATCAGAAAGTTCATTCAGGAAAAGGCCTACCCTGGTGTCATCCAGTGCGTCAACATTTTGCAATTACTCAAAGGGCAGTCATCCCCTGCACATATTTGGAGGGTAGTTCTAGTTCTCTCAGTCCACAGGTTCTAGCTAACTTGTATATTTAATAATTCATTTAACATAAAACATAAAAGTGCCCGTGTGATTATGCACCATGTGGTGCTTCCATACATGTAAGCATTATGTAAAGTGCAAGTCAAGTTAAGCACATGTATCTCTTCAAGCACGTGTTGTTTCTCTAGGGTGAAAACATTCAAAATCTCTTCTTCTAGCTTCCTGGACCCCATAGTTCACTGCCGTAAGTTATCTGCAGCCGCCCAGCTCTGCCGGAGCATGGCAGAGTCCTCCTGCCCTCCAGTCCTAACTCAGCTCCGGGTGATGAGCCTCTCAACATGCAGATCCCCACTCTCTGTGCTCCTCACATCTGCTGAACAGAGTCTTTGCCAATTTTGGATTCTCCTCTTCTTATCTGATCACCGTCGCAGGCCTCACAATCTTTCACCCTAGCCTCGGTCCATACATTCTATTTAACAGCCCACCTGGATGGAAAAAGCTATAGTTTATTCATCCATTTCTCTCCATAAGGGGCAGGCATGGGCTTTCCAGATGTTTTCCAAATTCCCTCCGCTCCTGAGACAATCTGTTAAGTGTTCATCTTTCTCACCAGATTTTTTACAGAGGGTGTGCAGTCCAGGGTTGTCAGTGATACCCAGACTTTGTCTACCAACCCCTATGATTGCTGCATGGCTACAGACTAGCAAGAAAGTAAACAGACCAGACCCAACACTGGCAGCTAGGGAAGAGATAAGTAGGACCTTGAGTGTTGGTGGGGGAAGTGTCTGAGGCTGTTGTATTTTGAAGTATTTGAACATGAGTCTGCTGTGATGTGGCTTATCAAGCCTTCCAGAACACACACAGCTCCATAAAATCTGGGAAATTATAGTTGTGTGGTGTATAATTATATGATACAGAGGCTGACATTCTTGCTATAACATACACTGAATATTCCATGTAATTACTTCATATAGCAGGCACAAAGCTCATCATATGAGAAGATGTGGTGATCACACGTTCATGGGTGTTGATTCGGCTTCCTTGAAGATTTCCAAGTGGCGCCTGGTTCCTGCTCCTTCAACTTTTGCTGTGGAAAATGCTAGGAGAAGACCTCGTCAATTCCACAGTGCTTGGTACAGCAGAGGGAGCATTCAAGAGATGCCAGCTTTCAATCTCTCCTTTTTGCTTGGCATCTGGGGCTCCTTCTGCAGGAGTCCTATGTTCCAGGTGTGCAGAGAGAGCTTTGTGTACCTCCTAAAGGCTTCAGATGTCCACATACCTTTGTGTTATAATCTCAGATTCTCTGGTCAAAAGCTCTGCTCCAACCCTTCCCAAGGCAGAGCGCAGACAGACCCAGGGTACAGGTCCTTCCATCTCTGCAAGAGATCTAGACACCATGTGGGCTCTGAGTGATGCTCTAGTGAGCAAAATTCAAAGACAGGAGCAGAAAAATCACAGTGGGCATTTGGTATGACATTGTCTTTCACATCAAGAGGAAAAAGAAATACTTTCACCAACTTTTCACATCATCAAATTCAGGTCTTCCAAATACTACTGCAGCATACAAAGGGAAAACAGAAAATTAAACTTATTTTCTGACATACACACACTATGCTCTTATTTTATCCTTCAACTCTATAAGGGATATATGTTAACTTTCAATATTTGCGGTAGAGGTATAGGAGGAAATTAATAATTATGAGTTACATGTGCTTTGATTATATGACTTGCTACTCTTGGCTACTGATTAAATGGTTTCAGGGTTTTGTATCTTGCTGTTCAAATTTATCTATCATTATTTGCTTTTATTTTTAACCCCTTTTAGCAGTTTTGATCTATGTTAGAACATGATTGATAACATGAAGAAAGTAGATGAAAACAGATAATTTTGTTGGGAAATGTCTTTCTACTAACAAAAGAAGTGATTCCTTTTAAGTGTCTGTGTCCATTTGTATTTGTATTTGTGTCTATATTTCTACTTTCGGTTGCTTGAGAGAGAGAGAGAGAGAGAGAGAGATAGAGAGAGAACAAGAAGAAGCAGCAGAAGAAGGAGGAGGAAGATGGAGGTCAACAAGAAAGAAGAAGAGGAGAAAAATAAAAAAAAAATGAAACCCTCCATGTTTGAAGTACAAGAAGTTTATAAAAATTATATTTTAGAAAACAATGGGACACAAAGTAATAATAACCTGAGTGATGAAGATCTCTCAAAAAAGAAAAAGAATAAGACCTTTGACAGAATATGAGTTAATTTTTATCTTCACATAATATATGCTTTGATCAAAATTGCAAGTACAAATTGTCACACTCACAAGCATTCTTGAGACTCAGCCTGTGAAGTTCAACACCGGACTTGAGACCTCAGCATCCATTCTTATTTTTGTGACTGATTACTGTTCAAGCTCTACTCTACGTGCAGTCACAAGAAATTGATGTATTTTCATTTGCCAAGTATTCCCATATACACTTGCTGATGAAAAATACGGCCTCATGGTTATTGTTGACACGCTTCATAAAATTGTTTCCACATTGCAACATATGTCAGTAACATTATGGGAGTTAAAAAAGTTGGCAAACTATAGTGACTGCGTTCTTCTTGCATCAAATAATAGTATTAAAACAGCACCATATTTTCAAAAAAGAGTTGAATATGTTGTCACATTTAAAAAGGATATAATCTTTTGGCAAATATCTCAATAAATACATTATATGTAACAAATTCATAATAAATATTAAAATAATAATGTAATACATAAAGCAGTTTAATGTAGGAAAAATGATAGGTACATAATATTAGGGTATACAAAGCCTTTTTGTTTTTGTTTCTTTGTGAGACTATGTAGTGCAGAGGACCATTAAACTCGCTTATGTTTCCCAGGTTGGCCTCAAACTCACGTACATCCTCCTGCCTCAGCCTCCCAAGTGCTGGGATTACAAACATATGCTACCATTCCTGGCTTTAGAAAGCCTTTTTATGACACATCCTAAATACATAG